CTGCATATGTCCTGGATCAGCACCCTGAAGTGTTGCATCCTGACTGTAACTTTAAACTGAAAGCTGTTCAAGCAGAAAATCTGTTTTTATTCATACTGCACCAAGTACACAAATATTTTTAGCATCCTGTCAGTTCACTAAAGACTTTTCCTTCTTCTGTGAGAGTAGGTAGTGGATCTGTGAAAAAGATGTAGTACTACCTTTTTTGGATTGCAGCCTCTGCTTTGGAGTACTTACAGTTTGAATGAAAGGAAGTACACATAATGTTTGTATGTCTGCTTAGTGTTGTATGGTCTGGATTGCAACTTTTCCATTGCATTTTATAAATGGTAGCACCTGTGGGAGCTATCGCTAGTCAATAAAAGGTGGTGTTGGGTTTTTTTCCTTTCTGTAGGGCTAAGTTAATGTTTGTAAGCAATGCTTTGTCAGCAGTGAAGTTCAGAATAGGAAAGATGGTGGTGTAAGGACCACAGCTGTTTACCTCTCTGTGCTACTTAAGAAGTAAAATGTAAGACTTTTATGCTCTCTTATGTAGCACCTGCAAGTTCATTTTTTCCAGAAGACAACTGCCCCTTTCACAAGTTTCATAAATATGCAAAACCAGACCAGATAAATATCAACTTTGACACATACATGGAAAAATACTTGGTCTCTTTCTCTATTTTTAACTTTTGAGTCAGTGACAGCCAAGAAACTTAATATCCATCAAATTCCTTATTGTTCCCTTAAACACATCAGAAGGCATTATGAGCATTCTTCAGAGAAGAAAGTACATCTGTCTTTGTTAACCAGCACTAATGTAAAGAATAAAAGCCGTTTTTGGTTTAACCGAGTCAAAAGTGTAGCTCATAACCATGTAAGCTTGATCATCTAGGTCTTTTGGATGGCCTTTCGGAGCTAAAGATGTTCTTTTGGCAATTCACTGAAGGCTGTAAACAAAGAGGAAGAGACTGGATGTTTTACATAACTCCAGACGCTGCTGATGGAGAATTTAAGTAGCCTAAAAATAACAATGCCGAGGCATAAATTCATAATGAAATTTCATCACTTTCAGATTTTGAAAGGCTACAGGTAGCCTTGGGAAACACGTGTATGTGCCTGCTCTAAGATCTGTCTTGCACAAACAGGAAATTTTTCTTGTCTGTGAGGACTGACTTGAGCTGCTTATCAAAGATGAATGGCTGTATCTTATAATGAGCAGTATTCTGCTAAAGCTACATTGCAGGACCACATTAATTGAATTACAATGGATTAAGTTGCTTAGGTCTCATGCATATTAAAAATATGCCCAAAAGCAGCCTCATTAACCCCTTAGGATGTGGCATTCCATGGGATAAAGCATCTTGAGGAAGGTAGGAAGATATGACCCAGGACATCAGTCAACCTAAACAAAGTTTGATCATTCATGTGTAGACACAAAATGTGGATTCCCTAAACTGATCACTTTGCATTTTCTGGATCCCGGTGTTGAAGGAATGAAGGAAGTGGATATCCTAATATCTTTCCTTTTCTGGATCACCTTAGGTCACTGATGCAAAATGAAAAAAAAAAAAATCTTTTGAGTTGAACTGGTGTTGGAGCTAGAGTGTGTACAGGATGACAGATTAAGGAGATGGCTGTGTGGGAGGACATAGAACATCAGCAAGTTTTCAGATTAAAATAGAGATAGGAACCTGTATTGTTTGTGTAGAGCATAATGAGGAGCATAATCTAAGGCTTAAGATCCATAAGTCTTTTTCTGTCACCGAAGGACGAGCTAAAGAATGCTTCCTGCCTATGATGACTGCCATCAGGCAAGGCAGGACCATGGGCCCCTCGTTGTGCAAAGAAGCACTTTATATCCTGAGCGTAATGCTTTCTGCTGTTCCTAGTGTTACTGCATTTAACAGCATAAATGAAGCACCTACTGGTTAAGCAGTGAAGTAGATCTAAAGTAACGGAGACTAAACAATGGGTATTCAGAATGCCATTTTGTCTGAAATCATGCCTCAGTGCAAATCTTGAGTTCTCAAACTTTTGTTCAGATAAAGTGAATGAGGGGAATAGCAGCAGCATTTTGCTTTCAGTCCTTTTGAGTGTTTACTTCCTCTACTTCCTCTGGTATGTCATCATAAGAGAAACACAGAAAACCCAGAAGATCCTTATGTCTGCAGCTGTAATGTTCTGGACAAGCTGCAGCCTAGTATACATGCTGATGTGGAAGGTAGCCATCTTCCAGCTTTTGAGGGCTTCTTTTACTGTTCTTTTTTTTTTTTAATTACAGAAGCTCTGGAATTTATACCTGAGTGGGATAATAATGAAATTCATATATTCCAGTTTCTTTTGACTCACATGGCTGAGCTTGGAAATGCACTTCCATTCAGGCTATTAGTACAGCAATACAGTGATTAAAAACAAACAGTCCACAACCTCCTTCCATGAATGCTCTGAGGAGAAGGTTATCTTGGATTCTGACACACATCAAACACATGCAGCAAACTTGTGCTTATTTTCTGCACAGCGTCAATAAGGACAGCATTAAAGCATGGCTTTAATCTTCCCACAGTTTCAGTAAGTCTGTATTTACAGGTATTTCTATTTTAAAGCTTCTTGCTGAAGTGACCAGCGTTTTGTCACCTACTTATACTTTACCCTAGAAAGGCATTATGAAACATGTTGTATCTGTAGCCTCTAAGAAAAAGAACATATACTAATATATTCTAAATAGGATATTTTTTATATTGGTTATCTGTTAGTGAAGCTTGGAAGAAATAAGACATGCTTGAGGAAAGGGAAAAGCTGGTAGTAGTCTTCTAGTAATTCTGTCAGTTTAGTTTGTTTACAAATGAAGGGGAAAATCAGTTCTTTCATAGAAGCTGTTATCACATATAAGTCAGCATGCTAAGAAGCAACCATCTTATCGTTCTGCTTTTCATGTGGACTTGGAATAACTTTCTAACACTGAAATTTGAACCCAGTGCCTGGTTGTACCTGACATTTGAGGAAACTTGGGCTCTTTCAGCTTTTTTGCCAGAATAAGAAAATAGTCACAAATATTTGCAAATACAAATATGAGCAAATTTAACCTTTCACTTTCTTATGGTCCACTGAATAGTTAGTATCAAACTGTCTTGGACTCAAATGAACACTTAAAATTGTCATAATGCTACTTTGCATATGATTGCTGACTGCAGTCTAAAAGAGGTACATTATTCCTATAAATACAGGTGCTAGCTATATGGTTTAAATGGTGACATCAGGAACCAGCTGAGAATTAAGAGGTGATTGGTAAAATAAGTTGTAGGCAAAGGCTTTTGGTTTCTGGTGGTACTTGTTACCTGTTCAGTGTTTGGGTTCTAGACTCATTGTTGGCGCAAATATGGGTAATGTCCAGAAATTGGAGCAAATTATTCTTCGTCTTTTGTAGTGTAAGCAAATGAGTACAATTTTAAAAATCAGTGTTTAAGAAATCTAGTGTTATCCATTGCAATCTTGCTCTTGGACATGGGAGGGCTTCAGCACATGGAAAGGTCCTTGCTGCCACCAGGTGTCAGTACATGCGTGGTTAAAACCACTCTTTCTGTGTTTCTTCTGAATTTGTTCCTAATCATGTATCTAGGATTGCTTTTCTCTTGTGTTGAATAATCGCATAGCTGACAAAGCCCTTGTGCAGGTACGCGTTTCTAGCTCAGGGGTTTGGCAGCATTAGAAACTACAAGTAAGCTGTTAAGTCTTGTACTCAAAAAGGGTATCAGACCTAGGCATCACTAATGCAGCTGATATTGTAGAAGAAACATGACAATTTCCTCCTCCCTGTATTTGAAGGGCCAGCATTATTTTTTAATACACTGGAAATAATTTAGGTGATTCAGTGAGTGTAGGAGAGAATGTTCCTCTGTAGTTAACCTGTCTGATCGTTCTCCTTTGGCTGTTAACAAGGAAGACCTAATACAAAGGAGCACAGACAGTTTGACAGCAATTTCTTAATGGTCCGTTAATACAGATCTGTTTGGAAATGGTCAGGTCTTACAGAACTTGAACTAGCTATGACTCACAGAAATTAGAACCTCTTTAAGTAGTGCCTTCCATATAAACAGAAAATAATTGCAGGCTTTTCTAGGAGAAGTGAGAATCTTCTTCCTCAAGGTATGAACTATGTAGACTTCAAAGTTATGAAATGAATAGTCTATGGAGGGGAAGGAGTGTTTATTAAAAAAAAGCAAAGCTAATCCATTGGAAAGTGGGGTCACAGTGGGAGTTGTGTACTTTTGTACAAAAAAAACCAAAACCCAAAACAAAACCACAAAACCATTGCAAAGGATAGTGGACAGTTGGTTCGCTAAGTGCTTGCATCTTCAGAACTGAATTGCATTTGCTTTAAACTTTTGTATGACTTGGCTTTGTCTTGTAACTGGTTACTTCATAAAGGTTTAAATTTAGCAGTTTATTATATCTCTGCAGCTATTAATGTCCTTTCTCCCTAAATCTGTGGAAAAAAAAATGAGGCTATTGGTATCCAATTTAGCAAATAAAGGAATCTGCTAAACAGAGAAGAAAAAAAATTTTTATACTAAAAGGAGTCTTGCTTCATGTGCCCTGTATTGCATGAGATTTCATGTTTTTAAAGGTTTCTTTTTTGAGACTACAAAATATTAAATTGATCTACCAGAATCACCCTGGAGGCCAAGTTAAAAGCCAGGCTTTTGCAACTTCCATTAAAATCAAAGGAAATTGCATCTGCTTATATATGGGTGGCATTCAGCCTACTGTCTCTTGTTAGGCAATATCAGCAGATTAACTTTTGGACTGTGTGGAACATAGCTACCCTGCTCCCACTTGGAGTATCATGATCTTTGTTAGAGGTGGTGGTGCCTTAAGCTCAGCTGCAGTTTCTGCTTCTTCAAATGGAGCAAAAACTGTGAAGATAATCTTTTACTACCCAGCAAGTATGGATAAGATAATAGTAAAAGCGACTTGCGGCCTTAATTGAACCTTAAGTTCTTATTTTTGCTTGAATACAGGTTTGTAAGCGAATGGACTTGGTTTGCCAGCGAATGTTGAATCAGGGATTTCTGAAAGTGGAAAGATACCACAACTTGTGTCAAAAGCAAGTTAAAGCTCAGCTTCCAAGGTATGTACCAGTTAAAACTGTAGTTAAACTTAAATGTGCTAGATTCTTTCAAGCAGAATATTGAAAAGGAAGTTCTTGCTAGCTAACTCAATTTACAGATCTTGAAAATTTGGATCACATTTGTTTTAATTTCATTTTTTTTCCAAAAGCACCTTGAACCTAAGATCTAATTACAAAATAATGGTGTGGATGAATGTAAGTTGTCATATACTAGGAACTAGAATATATGGAAATTGTCTCTGGTATTTTAAACAGAGAAAAGAAGAGTGGGTCCTGTATTAATCAACTCTTCTGGCAAAGCAAGCAAGGACTTCTAGGAATGAATAAATGCCATTCCTTTTCAAGACCGACTGCCTTCACTGATGATTTATCTACGAGACTGCTTAAAAAAAAACGACAAGGTTTTCCAGTGCTGCTGCTGTGTCCTATCAGATTTCGCAGTCAGAGTGAAGAAACTAAAGGCTACTTACTGTAGAGATCCTTTGTCAAAAGAGCTTATATCTCAACCTAAACTTTGTAGCAAGCACTAATATTTTGTTTGTCAATTGCATTGAAGTACTAACTGTAGGAATATGGGGGCATACAAATATTCACACTGCCTACTGCTAGTTAGTACTGAAAGCTTGTTTTTAAGTAGTCCTAAATTACATGCAGAGTTTATGGATCATATATGATGTAGTAATTATTTAGAGAACAAATTCTGTCTAAGAAAATGTAGTATACTATTACTAGCTGGTTTTCCATCTGTATCGGTATTTTTCCACAAAGACAGAACTAATGGTAGTGGTTACATTTTAAAACCTCAGAGGGTTCTAAGGGAGGAATTAAGATGAGTGATTGTTGCAGTTTCATTTTGTTGACTCATTGTTAAATCAGTGTCACTTAATGGTCTGTCTTCTAGACGGGAGTCAGAAAGAAGAAACCATTCATTAGCTCGTCATGCAGACATCCTTGCTGCAGTAGAAACGAGACTTTCTCTGTTAAATATGACTTTCATGAAGTATGTGGATTCCAATCTCTGTTGCTTCATACCTGGAAAGGTAAAATGTAGACTATATTATGTGAATGTATATCTGTGTTTATAAAATATTATTGTGTAACTTAACCTAGGAGAGCTGGGACAAATCTATATAATTTGTACATATATACACACTGAAATTGTGTTTCAGATACTTGCAAACAAACACACAAGCCAATACTCTGTTGTAACAGGCAGTCTGGAATGGATGAACCAGACTATATAGAAACATTAATTATTTTAAACATGATTCCCATTTTCCCTTAGATTCTCTCTTAATTCTGACATTTGACTTGTGGCATACACATCCTATGCAACCTTTTACAAGAAACACATGATATGTGGGGTTTAATTCTCAATTTTAATTGTATAAAACAGCTGGAGGTCAGGTCATCAGAAGATGTAGTAATTTAGACTACATGTAACACTAAGCACTCAGTCAATCAGGAAGATTTTGGGCACCTTTCTTAAGGGTTTGAGTACTTCAGATTAGTTGAATTAAGGTATTTAGTATGTGGAAACACTGTCCAGTATTACAGTGGATGGGGTATTTTTGTACAGTAGGTGGAATTAGTTTTAAATGTAGATAAAGCATGTTAAATATTAATACTGCTGAACAACCCTGGTGTTACAGAATACTACCCCAACAAAAAATAGAAATTGTGCAAGCGAGCTGCACATCAGAGATACCACTGTTTTATAAGCTGTGAAAATGGAAGTGCACAAAGGAATTGACAAAATCATGATCTGAGGAAGACTGGTACAGCTCAGGGTTGAAACAAGATCTGTGAATATTAGCCTTGTGCTCTATTTATTGATCTTTCCATGTTAGGTTTGTATATGTTGGTATTAATTTTTCATGGGCAGAAAATGGAATTGCACTGGGATGAATGAAAAAGTCAGCTGTTGGATTCAGGTGAAGCATGGTAGGCATTTTTACATTCAGTACAGTAGGATAGGCTGTCGGCATTAAATGTATTTTTATTTGGAAGAGGTAAGTTCATTTCTGTACACTCTTGTTGACTAAAGTAAAATAAACTTAAGTCCTTGATACTCATGTAGTAAATGGAATAAATACTTAAAATAAGCATTGCCTTATTTTTTATACTCGGTATAAACCTAGGGTGTGCAGGAGTTGGGCAAGTGAGCTCGCCACCCATTTTCCTTGTGGGCACTGAGTCATAAGGACCTTGTTTGTATTTTGATATAACAGCTAATAAGTTTTTTTCAAATTATTTACTTAGTGTATGAGCTTGGTAGTGCCTCTGCTCTCTCAGCACAGTTACCGACTCACCAGATAATCCTGTTTTGGTTAAGCAGATTCAAGGCTTAGTGTTCACATACAGTCTTTAGTTTTGCCTCCACCTGCACTGCTCCCCTCAGGAAATTTCATATGCATGAAGCTGCCACAGAATTGTCAGGAAGTGAAATTTTGTTACAATATGTGAAACCTGATTTGAGGCTCAGCATACTGTGTGAGGGTTCCTGGTGATAGCAGGGCGCTGTTGCAAGATTTTGTATCGAGGATGGCAGGAGAATGCTTTGAGGATGTTGTTGCTAACAGGATATAATGTGGGTAAAATTAGAAAAGTTTTTTGTAAGCTTCTTGCATATGAGACACTTTAGTCTTGTCTAGCTTTTGCAATTTTTTAGCTAAGCTTCCTTTATTAAAACACACGATGCAACTGTGTTACATATGATTCTAAGTCCTTAAAATCTGTGTGCTTCAGGAGACTCTTCAGCCATTCTTAATCCTGTGCAAAATACCTGTGTCAGTAGTTTTGGTAATAAGAGACCAGCACTCCTGTATTGACCTGCCTGAGGCTATAATTCGTAGATTGGCAAGACACGTTTCATCCGTCTCTGTCTCTCCTAACCCAAAGGCTTGTTTGTCAAACCTGTTAAGAAGGTGCTTAAGTTGTGCTTCAGTAGTGGATTGATGTTTTAGAAATTAATGCATTTTGGAATTAATCTGAATTTGCAGTATTTTGTGTGTATGCAAGTGGACTCAAGTGTATATTTACAGCTCTTCAGACAGACATAACAATAATTCTTGCTGTTCCATTTATGTGTTTTGTATGCCTTGTACCTGGCTGGGGGAGTGACTACTCTGCAGTGTGGCTTAAGAGTATCTTGCTTCAGGTTCTCCAAAAAGAAATTATGCTCTGCTGAGTATAGATTTTATAACTTATAAGTCAAGTTGGGATGTAGTAAAACAAATTTCACACAATGAGCATTATTTAATGAGTTTGGATAGATCAAGGGAATAGCTTCTCTGATATATCGCAAACGACACTTCATTGCAAAAAGCTGATCTAGAACTAAAGTACACAGTGGTATGCAAGCATGACGTAGTAAAAGCCCCTGAATATGCCAGAACTTATAGAATGATCTGAAATAATCTTGCCTTTATCAGAAAATCCTAATTGTTCTTAAATGTTTTAGGTAATAGATGAAATTTATCGTGTGCTAAGGTATGTAAACTCTACAAGAGCTCCTCAGAGAGCTCATGAAGTTCTTCAAGAACTAAGGGATATTTCCTCCATGGCTATGGAATATTTTGATGAGAAGATTGTTCCAATACTGAAAAGAAAGATGCCTGGGTCAGATGTATCGGGACGTCTGATAGGAACTGCCCCAGGTATTAATTCCAACATATAGTTAAGTTTTATTTAGTTTTTCTGTAACAATTCACAGCACCGTGTCTCTTTAAAGCAAGCTCCCTTCCTTAAATGCCAGCTTTATTACATTAATATTGATGATACTTGTTTCTTAAGAATGCTAACTGAAATTTATTTGCTTTGAAATTTAAGGAGCCTTTGTACTACCAAAAGAACAGTCACTTGAATGTATGTTAGAATTGTGCATAATGTGTATTCATTAAACAAACGCTTTTGTGCCACCAACGAATGAGACTTTATTATTGCACTTGGTTGAAATTTGGCACATGGGATGACAACTTGATGGGATTTATTTTTAGGACCATCAGCAAATGAATTAGCCTAAGCTGTTGTAGTGCATAGAGAGCTACAACATACTTGCATGTGTTTTTTTTACTTTCCTGGGGCAATAATGTATACACTAACAAGCAAAATACTTAGAGGTAATAGTGAAAAGGCAATTAAAATAACAGTCTATAAATAAACAATTAAAGTGATCCTTAGTATACTCTGTTAGACTTTCCAGAACTTCTGTGAACCAAAGTCTAAGGTAGTTCCCTCATATAACAGCCAGAAGAAAGAAGGTCAGTAGAACTGCAGTGTTTTCCCTGTGCTGAACATCTTCACACTTCTTAAGAACTGTGAAATTAACTGTCTGAAAGGATAACTTAATAAAAATTAAAATTAAAAAATTACATCTTAAGCAAAAATGATAGGCCTAACTGTAGCTGCTTGTTGTTTCTGGTATGTCCTGTCCATCCTTTTAGCTGTGTGTACACCACCTCATAATTAAATCCTGTTAATTATACCTCAGTTCCACTGAGCCTCTCAGTTGAGGAAGTATTGGCCAAAACCATAGTTGATGTCAAGGCCAAGGCATTATGTGGCGTAAAAATGCCTATCTTGTGTTGAGGAAGGAGCATAACCTATCTAATGGCAACCCGTTAGTGTCACATAACTGTAGCTATGCTGGCATCTTAAAGGAAGAAAACAAAAAAAAAAGGAGGAAGATGATGATTCTTCTAGGCTGTTCCAGTCTATTCTGTCTTTGTACCACTTAAAAGTTGCATCTGACTTGCACAGCATTGCTAGAACAGTAAAATGATAGAAAGAAGTGAAAGATATCTCTTATGTCATAAAAAGTGAAAGATATCCCTTATGACAGAGAAAGTGAAAGAAATTAAACAGTAGCTGTTAGTCCTCTTGATTTGCAGGAAGTTTATTAAAATTAACATTCCCAAGCTCAAATTCCAGTATGGTTTTAGTACTTAGAGTGATTCTAAAGAATCATGGAAAATAAATTCCTTTCTTGTAAAATGTAAGTTAAACTGAAATATCTTGTTAAGCCCCAAACCACAAAATTTTAGAACTTTAGCTGTCTACAGCTAAGACAGCAGAATTGTACTGCTCTATTGAAATAAATGTATTTAATATAACTATTCTGTAATAAGTAATTTATAGACATGTGAGTTTTTGACTTCTAGATGACAACATCTCCATATAATTTTTGATAGAGTGAAGAGGGGGGCTTATATACAGAAAATGAATTATGAGCTGTTTTCCAGACCACGGAAAATCTAAGTGTTTTAAATTAAACTAGTTGTGGTCTGAAATACCATATGCTCATTAGACACTTAAATGACTGTAAATCTGTTTACATGTTCACACAACTTGCAACTAGTATTCAGAGTCATGTTTAGGGAGTAGAGTTAAGCAAAATATGAAAACTGGGATACAATTTCTACCTCTGCATTAAAGTTGTAGAGGATTAATCAGAGTTTTATTTGAAGTTCCAGGGCCTTCTGCAGCACTGACAACAATGCAGCTGTTCTCCAAGCAGAACCCTTCGAGACAGGAAGTCACCAAACTCCAGCAGCAAGTGAAAGCGAATGGCACAGGCTTGACAGCGCTAAAGCGGGAAATCTCAGAGCTTCGCATCAAAGTGCAAGAGCAACAGAAACAACTCCAAGATCAAGATCAGAAACTGCTAGAGCAAACCCAAATCATAGGTGAACAGAATGCCCGATTGGCTGAGCTTGAACGCAAGCTGCGAGAGGTAATGGAGAGCACAGTAGGAAATTCTTCAGGTTCTGGCTCAAATGAACAATCTCCTAGAAAACGGAGGAAGGTGGTTGAATCCACAGACTGTCCTAGGAAATCTAAACGCCTTCGAAACAGAAAATAACTTGGGAGTAAATGACACCTTCAGGAGGATACACTGCTCTAGTAGCCCAAGCACAGCTGCTTGTTTGGATACTGTGACTAGCTTCATGGTGTCAGTTAGGCTGCTGGCTCCTCAAAACACCACTTAGACTTGAACAGTAATCTCCTTTCATTGAGACTTTTCCCCTGCTTTCTGTATGCGTGGGCCTAATGCACAGAATCTTTAAGATTTGCAATAGATACATACTAACCAGACCTGCTCTGTTATGTTTTGAAGGGTTACTCTTTTTTCTGTGCGAATGTGTTTAAAGTAAACTTATTTGTGTTTATGCATATGTTCACATAAAATCTTAAATAAATGCAGTCTTAACTGACTAAAAAGTTAAGCGTAAAAACAGATGTCCTGTTCACTTGAAGGAAAGATCCACTTTTAGAATCTTGTTTTAGAGAACTTGACCTTTTTTGTTACAAGTGACCTTGTCTGGAATGTCCAAAAAGTAGTTAATACTTTTTGGGGATCTCTGTAATGAGTAAAACTGACTTCTTAAGCTACAGTATTGGCTATATATTTTTATAAACTTACAAGGAAGGGCCTTCTATCCAGTCTTCACATGCACACACCCTGGTTCTAGGTCTTGGGAGCCATATTTACATTTGCATGGATAGATGCATGTACAGCTTAGCCTGCTAAAAGCACTTGCTGAAATTGTTTTTAACTCTGGGAAAGAGTACAGAGACCTATAAAGCAATTTCTTTGTTCCTCAGCCATAACTTAGCATCTGCTTTCAGCACAACTGCTTTCTTACAATGAGGTGGTCTTATGAACCTAGTTGCAGGAGAGTGTGATTCCAGGCTATCTGCCACTTTTTCACTGCCTGTAAATTGCAGGTATTGTTAGCCAAAGCTGGAGAATTGAGAAGCTGCCTATGCATCGCTTGATTCATAGGCCAATATCTAATAAGTATCAGACAAATTGTCCCTAAATTAACCGAGCTCAGGGGGACATAATTTGAACTGCTGTATTATGGAGAAACTTAAACTATTTTGTGTGTATGTGTTGGGGGTGGGGTGGGACGGAAATTTCTCTGTAACACTGATGACAATATTCTAAGCTTTCCTTATCCTAAAAGGTTAATCACTTCAGACAAAGCTTTAATTTCTTTTGCACTTCTGTTTTGAGCTTGTAACTGGAAAAGCATGTCTTGCACTGTTCAGTCTCTCTGGTCACTTTAACAACCTCAGAGTTGTGTACAGTGATTTCCCCCCCCACCCCTCCATCTGTATATTTTTGGAACCTTATACAAATACCATTGTCCTTGTTTTTGTTTTAATGTACTAAACTATGTAGCTTTATCATTTGACTTATGTTTTCTTTTTTTAATCAGCTGCCAGTTTGGGTGTAGGTGGTACTGAACTTGGTATGGCACTGAAAATGCAAATACTGCATTTGTAGCTGTTCAAAATCTTGATATGATTACCACTGGTAAAGTGCAAGTTTCTCTTACATTTTTTTATGGCTGTCAGCATAGCATAGTAGTTGTATTTAAATCACCAAACAAATCAGAGATTCTCTGGTCACATGCTATATAATTGTGGGAAAAAATACATTTTTCCTGAAACTTCAGCTACAGTTTTTGCTTCTGAAACATATTAGCTCATATCAGAAGTAATATTGCAAATGCCTAATTTTTGGCAGACACTTAATTTTCAAATAAACTTGTTGAGTAGTTTGAGTCTTTTAAAAAAAGGCATGTTTCTTAAGAAAAGCATCAAGGAAAGGATAAATGATTATCTGGGGGAAAGGTTAAACTGTTAAAAAGAGCATTTGCTATTACTGGTCTTCCATGGCTCAGAAGTTTTTTACTGTCAAAGATCTCTTTTAAGATAGATATCTGCTGTTCAGTTTAAAAATACTAGCATATACTTTATCTTTTAAAAAATAATGTTGAATCAAAGGGTCAGCATGATAGCTATAATTACTGTATATCATTTGATACGAATTCATGTGATGGTCTAATTACCAGATATTTGTGGTTAAATACTTATAAACAAGTATAAACCTGTGAATTGCATTTACTGAAAAGGTTTATTCATACCTCTCTTAATGTCTTCCTCTTTAGTTTCTTTATTCATTTCTAGAAGATGCAAACAATTTCCCCTCCCTTCACAATATACAAATAGTTTCAGGTTATTCAAGAGTACCATTATTTATGTGTTGGTGAATCTTTAGCTATGCGTAAACTGAGCTGGAAAGAACAACAACAGCCTATTGTTACACCAAACATTCTCTGTGAATGGTGCCAACTTGTAACCTTCAACTCAAGGAAGTATCACATGCTGCAAGTTTGCAGGTGCATCCTGATCCTCTGGCCACTGTTGAGTATATTAAAATTGACCAAGGCCCGCCAAACTTAAGGGGCAGAGGGGACAGTTAAAAGCCAGCTCTGAGAAATGCCAGGACAATGGTACACCACTGTTTTGTTGGGGGGAGGGAGACATCAGGTTGCAATACATACCAATGGTGGAGGTAGAACATAGACAACAGAATTAAATAATAGTTTAGAGAAAATATCTGAAACATTAACTTCTGACACCATATTGTGTCTTATTAAATAAAAAATGATGCATTTTTCAATATATGAGCAAGCTGATAAATAGCCTGAAGTAAAACTAAATCACTTTTCACTATAAATTTCTATGCAAGTTTACATGAGTTAGTGTATCACCCTCAAAGTACAGTGTTAGTAGCAATCAGTGATTGTATAATCTGTTCAAGGGGGAACCTCAAACTAATGCAACTAAGATGTATACAAAGTTACATGAAAAATCCTTTTATTTGCAGCCAACTATCGGATTGCAGTGTTAAGCTGTAGCGCTTGTAGCAAGGGCTGGAACTGAACAGCTCAGGGTTGAAAGAGAAAGTGATAGTACCTGTCTTTTATAGTTAGTGTATTGGGGTTGTGGGGTAAGGTTCTGGTAGCAGGGGTGCTACAGGGGTGACTTCCGTGAGAAGCTGCCAGAAGCTTCCCCCATGCCCGACAGAGCCAGTGCCAGCCAGCTCTAAGGGGGGCCTGCTGCTGGCCAAGGCTGTGGTAGCACCTCTGGGATAACATATTTAAGACAGGGAAAAAACTGCTGGGGAAACAGCAGCAGAGAGAGGAGTGAGAATACGTGAGAGAAACAACTTGCAGACACCAAGGTCAGTGCAGAAAGGGCAGGAGGTGGTCCAGGAGCTGGAGCAGAGATTCCCCTGCAGCCCATGGTGGGGGAGCAGGCCCCTGGCAGGCCCCGTGGAGAGAGGACCCCGGCTGGAGCAGGTTTGCT